TTGCCATAATGCACAATTCACCTGAAAAAATCCACAGAAATTGACCTGCAAAAAAATGCACTGTTTTCGACAAGTGCCGACAGGTAACTGAGTGACGTTGAGATCGGAAACAGTATTTTGTGTTGCCACACCTATATTTTATTTTCTACCAATATTATAAATGCTGTCCTAAGTTTGGTAATTTTTTTTTATTTGATTTAATTAGTTGATTTCGTTAAAAATTGTGTTTCGGGCAAAGTTTTCCCTGGTGGCAAAGTTGGCATATTTCACGGTACTAGCAAAGGCATACCTATCCTGGAAATTCTTCTTACCAAACTGCTTGCACTGATAAATATAATGATTCACTATAAAAACCGTGGTTGCTCAGGGACTGCGTTCGCTGTGAATATCACAGTACGCGACCAACCCTGGTCCGAACCCCGCCGGCACCAATGAAATTGCTAATTACAAATTGATGTGCTTGTTTGTGATTTTTTATATGGTTTTGAGTTACAACAATTTTTAAATGTAGTTTTTAAGTTTTGTATTATTGACTAATAAAACCAAATAATCAAGAAAAATCAGTCGTATAATCAATTTTTATTTATAAAAAGGTTACTAAAATGTACAACAAAAAAAAAACCGTCTAAAACAAAATTAGTCGAGTACAAAAACAGAGGATATCAAAATATAATAATTATTCTTATTTGTACTTAAAAATCAGTCCCTTTTGTAATTGCGAAGTAATGGGACGTAGTCACTAAAGTGGACCTAGGCGAAAAACAAATACTATATTTAAGTATACTAATTTTACATCAGCCTAAAAATCAGAATTAAATTTGAATTTAAATTTGAAAAACCTAGTCGCTCCGACAAAAATTTAAGGAAATTAATATATTAACTTTGGCCTCAATACATTTATGAAAATGTAATGTACATACACAAAAATAAAGGTAGTTATACTAAAATAAGTGATATTCACACTGTAAATACTAGGAACAGACACAAGCTTGTTGAGCATGTTGTACCGGTTACTCGACTCCATCGAGTCAGTAATTCATTCTTGAGTTGATGTATACGCTTTTACAACAAAATCTCAGAAAATATACAAAATTTAATCTGCTCAAAGTTCATAAACTTTATTAAACTAAGTTTGTATAAAAAGGGTTATTATATATAATATTAAGGAATTTATGGATGATAATAACCAAGCAACCAAGCGATTTCTAATTTGTTTTGTGTGGTTAATTGTGTAACATACATGATTGTAAGCTGTTATTTAAAAAACGTCCTGCTGGGTTTCTTGCTGTTCCTTCCCAGGACAGAGATATTTTTTCGAACCAGTGGTAATTAAACAAAAGAGTGACTTTTAATAAGTATTATTTATAATCTATATTGAATAAAAAGTTTCTGTTTCTGTTTCAATAAGGACGGAGCATTACTTATAAATAATTAGCATTACAAATCACAATAATAATAATAATACTTTTTATTTCGTTAAAATTAATCAGTCAAAACTCGAAAGTATGATTCATAATAGGTCCTGGGAATTATATTTTTGTCAAGCAGTTCTTTTGTGTCTCTTTTTTATTTTGATTTAAATGTATCTTACTTGTGTATGCTTGTGTCAAACCAACAGAAAATAATAACGTTTGGTTTCCAGCTCGTTGTGTATTACGTACGGAAACTTTATGGTAATTTTCATCTTCGTAAGAATTCTTCATTGGATGTTCTTTTTCAATACGAAGCACCTTAATGTCGTGCCATTTTATTTCGTTTTTATCCGTTTTCACATTAAAATTATTATCGCACTGCTCTTGAAGTAAGTTAAGATCATAAAATGTATCATTAGTCATTTCATTGACTCTAGCCTAGCCTAGTCCTGCCCTTTTAGCGGCCTGATAAGGTGACATATTGTTGTGTGATAAAGATTGGTCCAGATTCAAGGTAACGCTTTACTTGCTTTTCAATTATGCTATGCACACTCTCACTCGTTTTGAAAGTGACCACGAATCAGAAATTTGTAGATTATACTTTTAACATTAATTTTTTGTAAAGCGTAAGCTGCAAGGAGATACTTATTTTTTTGCTGGCCGCAGCAATTATCAGAGTAAAATATAAAATCTAGTTCTTTATCAAGATTACCTTGTCTATTTTTTTCTATATACGAGGGTGGGTCAATAAGTCCGTGACTTTTGGAATAAAACACAGATTTTTTGATAAATAAATCATTTTATTTTTCAACGTAGTCTCCCTTGAGCTCTATACACTTTGGCCAACGCTTCTCCAATTTTTTTATCCCTTCCAAAAAATATGATTTGTCGAGGTCCTCAAAATAGGCCTTTGTTTGCGAGATGACTTCATCATTGGAGTCAAATCTTTTTCCACTAAGCCATTTCTTCAGGTTTGGGAACAAGAAGTAGTCACTCGGAGCCAAATCTGGAGAATAGGGCGGATGAGGGAGCAATTCATAGCCCAATTCATGGATTTTTGCCATGGCAACTGCACATGTGTGCACCCTTGCATTGTCTTGGTGGAAAAGAACTTTTTTCTTGGCCAAATGAGGTCGGTTTTTTTTTCAAATTGTCATTGAATCGGTCCAATAAGTTGGCATAATATTCCCCATTGATTGTTCTTCCCTTTTGAAGGTAGTCAATGTGGATTATCCCGCGTGCATCCCAAAAAACAGTCGCCATAACTTTATTGGCTGACAAACCCACCTTGGCCTTCTTTGGCGCCGATTCACCCTTAGAAACCCACTGTTTTGACTGTTGTTTGGTCTCTGGTGTGTTGTGATGGATCCATGTTTCGTCCACGGTTACAAAACGGCGCAAAAACTCTTCCATATTGCGATTAAACAACGCCAAACCTTCCTGTGAAGTTGTTACACGATTGCGTTTGTGGTCGACTGTGAGCAAACGCGGCACCCATCTTGCGGAAAGCTTTCTCATGCCCAAGTGATCATTCAAAATTGAAGCCATGCGAGATCCCAACGGCTTCCACAATGTCTTGCACTTTCAATCTTCGGTCGGCCAACACCATATCGTGAATTTTTTTGATTGTGTTGGGTGAAGAGACCTCAACTGGGCGTCCAGGACGTTCGGCATCTTCAATGCTTGTACGGCCACAACGAAATTCAGTAAAGCACTTTTTTACCATTGAAATCGATGGTGCAGAGTCCCCATAGTATTTATCAAGCTTAGCCTTGGTCTCAGTAATGGTTCAGATTCAAGTTGTCGTGATAATCTCCACTTGTGGAGTTTGCTTTATACACCAAACTAGCATTTGGAACAAATCCTTCACATCCACCAGCGTGAATAATTATGACCCGAGTACCTTTAGACAACTTTTTTTGCACTGCTGACACTCCTTTGACTGGTTTCTAGCACATGTTTTGCAGATGTGTTGTATGAACATACGAGGGTGGATTGAAAAGTACTCGGCCTAACACAGATCCATTCAATTCTAAAAATCAAATCTACCCACATTATTTAGTTCAGTTCAGACTAGTTCATTGTGTGAAGTTCGAAACGTGTGCGATAATTAGTTGTGATTTTATAAATTTATTAACAAAGTAATCGGACATAATTTCCGCGAATGGAGCAAATCGAGCAGCGTGCCGTCATTAAGTACCTCCATAAGAAGGGGCTATCATCAAAAGCCATCCATGATGACATGGTCAGTACATTAGGCGATTGTGCTCTGTCATATTCATCCGTCAAAAAATGGATAGCAGAATTTAAGCGTGGTAGAGAGTGTGAAAGATGAACCCCGCTCTGGAAGGCCTTCGACGTCAACTACTGCCGAAAATATTAAAAAAGTACTTGATTTAATAATGGGAGACCGCAGATTAAAAATTAGAGAGATAGCCGAGATTGTAGGCATCTCTTATGAACAAACTCAAAACATCATTGTCAACGAGTTGGGTTTCCACAAGGTGTCTGCGAGGTGGATACCGCGACTGCTTTCAGTTGAACAAAAAAGGACGCGATTGACTATTTCACGCGACTGTTTGGAGTTATTTGAAGCCGATGCAGATGATTTTTTGAATCGTTTTGTTACTATGGACGAAACATGGGTTCATTACTGTACACCGGAAACAAAACAACAATCAAAACAGTGGAGAAGACCTGGTTCACCACCCCCTAAAAAGGCTAAGTCGATTTTGTCGGCAAATAAGGTGATGGCTTCAGTATTCTGGGACTCGAAAGGTGTGATTATGATTGATTATCTTGAAAGGGGTCAGAATATAAACTCTGATTACTACTGCACCTTACTACGTCGTTCACGAGAGGAAATAAAAGAAAAACGTCGAGGAATGCTCAGAAGAAAAGTCCTGTTTCATCAAGATAACGCCCGTGTTCACACGTCAGTACAGTCAATGGCTGAAATTCACAACTGTGGCTTTGAACTGTTACCGCATCCGCCGTATTCACCTGATCTGGCACCATCAGACTTCTTTCTGTTCCCTAACCTAAAAAAGCACTTGGGAGGTCAAAGATTTTCGACAAACGACGAGGTCAAAGCAGCTGTAGACGCATATTTTGACTCTAAGGAAGAATCATTTTTTTTCAACGGTCTAAATGCTTGGAAGGGGGGTGGCAAAAGTGTATTGAACTTGATGGTGATTATGTAGAAAAATAAAAATATAACTGATTTAGTATTTGTTTATTTTCTTGGTTAGGCCGAGTACTTTTCAATCAACCCTCGTAACTTTCATCTGTGTATACCAGCGGTCCGCAACCTTTTTGATATTGCGACCCCAAAATTCAAAAAAGAGATGAGCGACCCCAGAAAAAAAAATAACAAGTGCAAAGGTTGGTTCAGGTAACGAAGTTAGCTGTTTTTATTTCGTAAATTATTTATATTGAAAAGTTTATTTATTTTGGAAAGTAATATTAGAGCAAACTAGAAAATATGCATTTAACATACGAGTAATATTTAAGATGGCATTAAATGAGACAAGCAATTATTTTAATATTTTATTTAAAAAAGAAGGTACATATACGTAACCTTACAATCTAATGTGAACCTTGTGCTTGCACACTTGCAGTCTGTATATTAATTCTTGGTGATATATTATCAGAAACAGACACCCTGAAATCAGGTTCTACGTTAAGTCTGGAGCGATATTTTGTTTTTATAGCAGTTAATGTGGAGAAAGCTGTCTCGCAAAGGTATGTAGATGCGAATGGCAGCAATTTCAGCAGAGATGTTTTGAATAACAGTGGATATTCCTTTTCCGTCATTATCCAGAACTTGGATAGATCCGTGGTTTTGAAAATAGATTGAAGGCTTTCATCGGACATTAAATCGATCAGCTGCTACTTTTCTTTTAAGTTCATCTTCACAGTGTTAAGATCACAAGTGAATGGATTAATTATCCATTGGTCGCCGTGTGACGTATCTGGGAATCTTATTTCCAAGTCTTGCTTAAGGTTTGTAAGATGCATCATGATTTTGGTTTTAATTTCTTCTTCGAGCTTTATACTGTTTTCTTCAGAAATTTTTCCAAACATGCAAACATCTCGTAGTTTTCAGCACTGATTTCGTCTATCCACAAACTTATTTTCCTACAAAAAGCTATTTTGTTAGCTAAAATCAATACATTTGTACTCTTCCCTTGCAACGATTGATTTAAATCGTTAAGTTTTTCAAAAATATCCGAAAGATAGCCAACTATTGCCAACCAATTTTCATTCAAAAAATATTCCGCTAGCTTTGGTTCCCGTTCAAGTAGAAATATTCTGATTTCATCTTTGAGATCAAATACACGTCGGAGTGTTTTCCCTCGCGATAACCACCTGACCTCCGTATGTAACAGTAGATTTTCGTATTCTGATCCCATTTCACGACACATTATTTTGAAAAGGCGACTGTTTAATGCGCGAGCTTTAATAAAATTTATTATTGTTACGACTTGTTCCAACACTTTATTTACATCTGGTTGCAAATGTTTTACTGCAAGGGCTTCACGGTGAATCATACAGTGAACAAAGCCTACGTGAGGTGCAATCTCAGTTACTTTTGCTTTGAATTCTGTTTTGGAGCCGGTCAATGCAGCTGCGCCGTCTGTACACACAGATACACAATATTCCCACTTTATGTCATGGAGTTCAAAAAAGGTATGAACTGCATTAAAAATTGCTTCACCGGTTGTTCTTCCTTCTAATCCCTGACAAAATAACAAATCTTCGCATATATCGTTTTCATATCGGTATCGGATAAATATCAGAAGTTGAGCTACATTAGCCACATCAGTGCTTTCATCCAGCTGAATAGCATAATAGGGACTCCCTTTCACGCGATCTATAAGTTGTATTTTGATATCATCAGCAAGTAGATTGATACGACGATGAACAGTGTCACTTGATAGTGGAATTGTTTTCAGTAAATTGGCATACTTTTCTCCTTGCATGATCGAAACCATTTTCATTGCAGCTGGCAAAATGAGCGTCTCGCCAATGTTGTGAGGTTTTTTTAGTTTTGGCAATCAAAAAGGAAACCTCGAAAGATGCTTGTAAGGCTTTTTGGTTAACTGTTGTGTATTTTTGGAAATCAACCTGCTGTGACTTTAGTTTGGTGGCAAGTCGTTTAAAATAAGATTCATCTTTATATTTTAACTGTGGATGCTTAGTTTCTAGGTGCCTTTTCAGTTTGGTCGGCTTCATGCTCTCATTTGCCAAAACCTCCGAACAAACAACGCACTGTGGACGTTGTTCAAAATTCAACACTGTACATTTAAAACCAAACTGGATGTACGATTCTTTAAAGATGCGTTGACGCTTCCCAGTTGTCTCCGATATAGCTGTTGCTAGTTTAGTTGAAGTTGAAGCGTCATTTTCTGTATCGATGTGTAAGGTAGACGGCTGTTGAACTACAATCATCGCTGTTATGACTAATAGTTATAGTAGTGGAACTAGATGTTTCTCTGCTTTCATCGATAGTAATAACACTACTAGTACTTGAAGTGGTGGCATTGGTCTCACGACTTATACAGGGTGGCCCATAAGTCCCTTGAAATGTAAAAAAATAATTTAAAAAAAACTAATGACATTATGAAAAAGGTTTTTATTTTGTCATAATCCTTATAAAATGGGAATTATTTTTTGAAAATTACATCATCTAAATGTAATCCGTTACGATCGCGGCACTCCTGTAAGCGACGTTTAAAATTATCCATCACTGCGTGGCAAGTAAGCTCTGTAATGTTTGCCATTTCTCTTTGGATATTTTCTTTCAGGACGTCAACTGTCCGCGGGTTGGTTTCGTACACTTTAGTCTTAAGATAACCCCATAAGAAAAAGTCCATTGGGGTCAGATCTGGACTACGTGGTGGCCAAGGAATATCTCCTCTTCGAGAGATCACTTTATTAGGGAAAAGTTGACGGACGACCGGCATAGCGACGTTAGAGGTATGGGCAGTTGCTCCATCTTGTTGAAACCAGGTCCGCGTATTGAAGCCTGGAAAATTCTGCAACTCTGGTGTAAAAAAGTCCTGGATCATAGCTACATACCGTTGTGAAGTAACAGTAAGCGCGCGGCCTCTGCCGTCCTCAAAAAAGTAAGGGCCTATAATGCCATGCGCTGACATAGCCGCCCAAACTGTCACTTTAGGGCTATGTAAGGGCTTTTGATGTTTGCGATTTGGATTTTCGCAACTCCAGTAGCGACAATTTTGCTTATTGACATGGCCGTTGATGTGAAAGTGAGCCTCATCAGAGAATAACACGTTATTAAACGAAGTAAAGCGGTTCGACATTTAATTTGCGAAATTTAGTCTGTGGATAGTGTCAGTATCTTTTAATTCCTGTACTAACTGAATCTTGTACGGGTGAAGATGTAAATCTTTCTTTAAAATTCGCTGTAACGATGTTCTGGGTAAGTTTAATGCACTGGAACGCTTACTAGTAGACTGGGTAGGATTTTCACGAATTGAGTGTTTCACTACATCGATGTTTTCTTCCGTCCGTGATGTGCTTGGTCGACCTGACCGTTGTTTATCCAACGTCGAACCACTCTCTTCGAACTTAATAACCCAGTTCTTAATCGTTTGAACACTTGGAATGTCTTTAAAGTTGCGTAAATTCTGATATTCTCGAAATTTACGCCGCGCAATGGTAGCCGAATCATTGTTTCGATAAAACTCGCGCACACAAAATGCACGGTCCGCACCGGTGAAACGCTCATGCGCGCCTTTTGTATTTTATTCGAAATTTACATTTCTAACGACTTATGGGCCACCTGGTATTACTCGGAACAGTAGTTGTCATTATAGAATCTGAGGCGACACTGCTGTCAAGAACTACGTGTTTAATTCTTTTGATTTGTGATGCGTTATTAGGACTTCCGCCACCTGCATCTGTAGATGTGCGTTTTATTAGCCACTTATCCATTGTTAACTGCAATAATAAATACGTATTAATAAATAAAAAATGTATTCCAAACGATTAATATTACATTTTTCGTCATATGCTCGCGTGGTAACAGGATTTACTTCAAATTTATTTTCAACGAAGCACAAATAGACAAGCAAAAAAAGTGGCCAAGTGCGAGTCGGACTCGCCCATGAAGGGTTCCGTGGTAGCAAGTAATGATATGACTGGATGTTAGTTGTAACTTTGTTTTTCATAGTGTTTGTATGAATGACAAACATGACTTGACGAAACTATAAGGGTTCCTTGTATCTCAAACGGAACCCTAAAAATACATAAGTGAAGCGTAAAAAATATTTCACGCTGGTTTTGTTATTGAACCCACGCGTCCAACATGGCCGCGCTGTTATGACGCTTCACTTTATTTTCTAAGTATGAGTGCACAGTTACTTACCGTGTGCGTGGTTATCCACGAGAGCACTAATCTTCTAAAATAAAACTTTCTACAGAAGTAATCTTCCGTGTTTTGACATCAATTTAGTATGTATTTGCAATCGACAAAGCGGCGATGAGTACGCACGTGCGGATAGAACTGACTGAACAGACAGACTGAACGAAGAAAGAGCGATCGGGGTGGGGGCGCGGGCGCGGGAGCGGTGATGTTGTGACCGGCGGGACTGGACAGGTCGTACAGTCGTAATTATTTTCGATTCTCTCCGTTTTAAGGACATTGTGTAATTGTGTATGTAAAGAGAGGTTATATTTTATGCATAAACCTTAATAAAATTCGATAAATACAGGACCTTTTTGACTTTTTTGGCGACTCCATAAATATCTTTCGCGACCCCGTGTGGGGTCGCGACCCCAGGGTTGAGGACCACTAGTGTATACGATATAGCGGCCCTCGTCACGATATTTTTTTAATTGCCTCAAATATTGAAAGCGTAACATTTGGATATCATGCTTTTCTACTAAAGCTTTAGGGTACGTTCAGATGACAAGCGCTCAACGCGCGTTGAACGCGCGTAAATATTTTGTGTAGTGTTCACATGGTGCGCGCTTGTCAGGCGTTGCACGCGAGTTGCCGCGGCCGCCTTGACCTGGCTAATTTGAGTTCTATATTTGTCGAAGATGGACGTAGAAGCAGTTTTAGCGGTGTTTTTTTAACGACGATAGAAACGACGCGACCGAAGACGGAGATATTGGATCCACCCAATTTTTTCATACAGGCTAACTGAAAGCCAGTACATAATTTTGTATCTTAAGGCAATTCAAACCCAAATTTTTTAACTACTTCAGAATGTCCATCAAGTCATTTGATAACTTACTGGCTCTCATAAACGATGAATTTCACCAGAAGAAAAACTCATAATTACATTGAGGTAAGTATTTATTAATCAAAGTTGTTATTAATCAAGACAAATTTATAAATCAATACTTGTTTAGGAACAAAAAAAAAAGAACATTCTTTTCTTCCCAAGCCCGTCTCCTTAAATTCTTATCTGAATAAACGCAACTTGTCCCATATCGCAGGACGTTTTTCTATTTCATCTATCAATAATTCGGTATTAAAAGCTTCCGTTTCCATTTCGAGCAATTTCTGGATGAACTGAGCGAACCTTAAAATACGTCTATCCGCATCAAAAGCGCGCGCTCAACTGAACGGTAACATAGAAAAGCGCGCGTTGACGCGCGCTTACAACAGTCGAGCGCTAGCACAACGTTCAACGCGCGCTTTATTAAAGCACCCGTTAGCATGTGTACGGCCTGAATAAAACTGATGTAGTTGTAAGCGCGCGTTATCAAAACGTGCGTTGAGCGCTTGTCATCTGAACGTACCCTTAGGCCCATAGCACACGGCGTATTTAAAACGCGCAGATGACGCGCAGATTACGCGCGTATACGCGATTCAAACGGGATTCGATCGCAACCTTGTAACTGTAAGCACACGGGGCGATCGTGAAACGCGCCTCTACTGCGCGTATACGTGCAGATACAGCGACACAGACGCGCTGTAGTCGCTCGTAGATTTTGCGTTTTTCAGATCAGTGATTCCTTCAGTTGTACAATGGCGTCGGTTGAGACAACACTGCTTACGTTGGCTTTAGTACTTCTTTTAAAAAGAAAAAAATGTAAAAAAAAGCGAATCTATTGGATAGATCCATTTACGAGTGAAAAAAGATTGAGTGGTCATTATCATACAACGTTTAAAAAATTGGTAATACATAGAAGATGGAAGAAATTTTATAAGTGTGTAGTGCCTGAAAAGCTCCATTTGAAGCCATTTGATTTAATCTGCCACATGTATCGTAACAACAACAGAGGTAAGTATAATTTTTGTGTGGATCTAGCAGTTGTCATTAATAGAATATCTCCCAACTCCTTTAGTATCCCAGCCACTTGTCCAGGTGTTCTGGCATCCTTCAAACAAGTAACTATCTCTTGACTCATTGGTAGCATCTGTAAGCTGTTTAACAAAGCGTTACTCAATTTAGTGTGATATTTGTCCTCCATAACCAATAGTATGGCTTGGGTTAAAGGTCCTAAACTCCTTATAATAACTGTTCTCCTCTCTGGGGCCAAAGTAATTCCTTGTAGGAGTGGTATATAGTGGTTCACTAGTCCATATTGAGAAATGCTTTGTGTGAGATCCTTATCCTTTCCTTGAAAACTTACTAATTTACCTTCAGCATCCCTTTTAACAGATCTCTTAGCAACAGAAGCACGAACTCTAAACCTGGTAACACCAGTTCTGACTTCATCAAAAAATGCTTTAAATAGTGTCATTATTTCCACTATTGGAGTAGCCACCAAGAAATTTAATTCTATCTTCAACTTTTTTACTTTTTCTACTATAGCCTGTATAGAGACTTCTATCCCCAATATCTTAGCAGTGTATGCCTTGTACCTATTATGTCCTGAGGTATCATTTTCTTCTTTTCTGAGACAAGTAAAGACTCATCAGGACACCAGATATTTCATCTGATAGATCAATATCTATTATTGACCTCTCTAAATCATTCCTAATATCTGCTCCAGCCTTTACCCCTAATTC